TAAAAAAAAAAAAAAAAAAAAAAAAAAAGAGAAAATGCTTTAAAGAGGAACTTTACCTTTAAAATGACAACAAAGGCACTTTGTCGATTTGTCATTACTAAACATCTCTCAAACAGATACTTCTAGATGATTGCAGGATTTTTATTCTTTGCATAACTTGTTTTTCTTTTCCTCCCCATTCTTTTCACGGTGGCCATTTTTTTTTTTTACTAAGGAAAGATTACTCTATCTCCCTTTACTTCCTGGAACTCTGGCACATGTGACCATGCACATTATCTCAGGGCGGAAAATGCAAGAAAAATATGTTCAATAAATCAATGTAATAAAACTTCATACCAGCATGCAGAGCTGAATGCTAATGTGATTTTTTAGCTTTAAGGGCACACAACTAAAAAGAGAATTATGAATACACACTGTACATTTTAAAGGCAACACAATATATAACTGTTACCTCTGTAGCCCACACTGCACCCCTCCTATAAACCAAAATCTGGAAATATCAAATTCAACAACAAAGCCATATTTGCCATGGTCTGGCACCACAAGCCATCAGTTCAATAGTCCATGAGCTATTTTACATTTAAAGGGCAACTGCAGATAAGATCACATAGGAAATATTTCAAGACCACACAATTTACCTTACGTTATTTATTTATTACAGATTATATAGCGCCGAAAAAGTTTGCAGCACTTTTACATCCTGCACATCCATATCAGTCCCTGCCTTCAAGGAGCTTACAATCTAAGGTCCCTATCTCACATGCAAGCATACAGGGCTGATTTAGACAGGAGCCAATTAACCTTCCAGCATGTTTTTGGAGTGGGGAGGAAACCAGAGTACCCCGAGGAGACCCCTGCAGGCACAGGGAAAACATGCAAACGCCATGCTACAAGGAAGAAGTGTCAACCAATAAGCCACTGTGCTGCCTCTGTAACTACTCTAGACTGCAGAGTGAACGTCATGTATATGGGCTACTTCCTGTATTTTGTCCGAAGAAAATTCACTCCTGCTTGCTGTATGACCAATACAATTCAAGTTTGCAAGGCAGGATTAAATGTAAGCAACTCATCTGATCTTAATACTGACCCTCGGATACATCACATCTTCTGGATGAAAGAGAAGCCTACAGTAGATGTGTTTCAAAACACCCTCTCCTGCATTAAAAAAATGGCAGAAGGGCTATTCAGATCAGCAGATGAATGTTTAAAGTGAATGGGGTAAACTGATGCACTACAACTATCACGCGATACCTTGACAGCTGGCACGCAACCTTTTTGCTTGTAATTGACAGCTCCCTCGTGCCGGCTGTCAATTACATTACTGGCCCACCCACCTCAGTGACGTGGCTGGGCGGCATTGGAACGCAGAGGCGGGGCCCTCTGCTCGGTCTGCTCAAGCTCCTGCCTAAAGGATCCCTCTTGTGCCAGCCCGCCAGACAGGAGCGGGCTCACCCACGTCTGATGTGATGGGACGGGATTTCTGTACCCTGCCAACAGGATGATTCAAGCATGAGAAATGGAAAACTTAGCAGTCATACAGTTTTTGTGGCTGATATGCAGGCTAAAGTGTGTAAATTGGTGGTGGTTTGTCATGCCTTGTGGCTGCTCCGAGGCCTGCAGGGCAATGGGGCTGCTCCGAGGCCTGCAGGGCAATGGGGCTGCTCCGAGGCCTGGAGGGCAATGGGGCTGCTCTGAGATCTGGCATTCAAAGTATGCATTCGTGCTGGTCTAAGGTCAGCTGAAAGTAACATCCTACAGGCCAAACATAGCACAACTGAGCCATGAAATCAAGACACAGGGATCACACTAAAACTGTAAGTCCAGTTTACTTTTCAGCACATGTAAATATGAACATGTTTTGTGTGTGCACTAGCTATTCAATGTTTTCACTTATAGATGTACTGCTAATGGTGAGGTAAACACATTAAAAACATTAGTGCGTTTAACTTACTATTAGCAGTACATGAGTTAGGAGTGGAAAAATTGAAATGTAACTAACACTACGGCGCGCTATTGTTCACTGGCACCCGGTTGTCTGATGGTTTCAAAAATGGCACTTGGTGTGTAAAAGGTTGCTGACCCCGGCTGTAGATTGTCAATTAGCAGCTGGCCACACCCTACCCTGCACACGGCTTTCTGGACTGGCTAAAGTGATTGTGCTGCAGAAATTATTTTATAATAATTTCAATAATTCAAGAGTCTTTTTTTTTTTTTATCGCATAGTAACTAGATTTGAGACCTGTTTAGCCTGCCAGACAGGAGCCTTTAGATCAGGGGTGGACAAATGTAAACGAAATTCAGGCGTCAGTCTGTCCAATTCAGCAGCCACCATGAAATTTTTAAGAGCCAGCTCCTTTGACAACTAGAGAAAACCACAAAAGTTAGGCACCAGATATTTTTTAAGGAGCATTGGCTACCTGGTTTTTGGGATTTGTCCAGCCCTGCTTTAGATATACTTCGTTTCCAGACACAATGCCCCATGATGTGGACAGTAGAGATGCACCAAAACATATTGGCTGAAAATAGCACTTGGGCAAAATGCCGACAGTACACTTTTTCGGCCGAATTTACGGTGCATCCATGATCTCTCTCCTCTCCGTTCCCTCTGACAAAGAGCAGCTTCCAGCGGGGAGGAGAGAAACGTTCAGGAGACAGAGCGGGGTGGGGAGGAGAGCGCTGTAAGTGTGTAACAGGAAGCTGAGCTCTCCTCCCACAATGCCCCACCTGGCCTACCTCGACAGATCAGGAGAGCTGTGTGGGGGAAGAGGCAGCTGTTAGCCGTCACAGGAGGCCGAGCTGGCGGTGCAGGGGAGGAGTCAGCTGTCAGCCATGTCACAGGAGGCCGAGCTCTCCTCCGCACACCACTCGCTCAGCCTCCTGTGACAGCGAGTCAGGATGGAGAGCGTAGTACAAGCACTCAAGAATCAGCTGATTGTTGCGTGTTTGTAAATAATTGAGGACATAGTATGTTTATTGATGCTCTACATCACTTCCTATTAATTCATGATTGTGGACATAGTAACTCATACTATATCCTCAATTTATGAATGGACAGGAGTAAAGAGGATTCCTGTTCATTCATAACAGCGGCAGCAGAAAAAGATTAAGGATTCTGTGTCCTCAATCGCTATTTCTTTTTCAAAAGGGAAATAAGAGGTCTGTTTAGACCCCTGATATTTCCCCAGAGCCCCTAACAGTAAAGTCACAAATGTAAAAAAAAAATACATTTATTATTTTTGGCTAGAAATTTTTTTTCCCCCGGTATCAGCCTGAGAAATTTTGTATTTTCCCAGACGGTCTGAAAATTCCATTTTGGTGAACCTCTACCTGACAGGTTAATAAACATTCTCCCCCAAGAGTCAGCAGCCTACACTTTACGCATTGTCCCCACTAACAATGTATGTCCATCCAAAATTTGTTTCATAGCTTTGGATCGAGTGAGGATGGGTTAAAACCTGTCTGGCTTTTACTGCTATCTGGCGAGCGGATTTGTCACTTCCTGTCCTGCTGATATTTTACTGGACAGGAAGTGAGGGGAACTCTCCAACAGAAAAAAAAATGTTCATCTTGTATTTTTGTCTGTGCGACTGTTGCAGATGTCCCCTCCACTTCCTGTCTAGTGAAATTGTTGACAGCTGGGCACATAGTTCTCTCTAATGGTGCTCAGGATAGCAGTTAATACCCAAAAGGGGTTATAATAATTCCCCACTGTACCCAAAATGTTTTTTGCCCCCAAGGAGAATGGGGGGTGGGGGGGTCACTGTTCCATGTTATAACACATTAGGAACCAGCAAATTATTTATTTAGCCTGCAATGTGACATGGTGAAAATATTTTAAACCTCTTTAAACTACACTATGTGGCGGCCTTTCCCGGCCAAGAAGCTTCAGTGACCGGTGTAGGCGGAACATTCAGCAACAGTAATACTATGAAATGGCCGGGATGGCACAATGCTGCGCCCACACAGAACACATTAACTTAGACAATAAAAGAGTTGTGCTTTCACATCGCTAATCTTATTAAAACCTTGCATATTATTTTACATGAATTGAAAATACATCACAGTAGTATTTGTACAAACTCTGCCAGAGGGCTTAATCACAGACTTATTAAAACAGCTTGAAGGCACAAAGATAAAATTAAGTTGTCATTTCAGCCTACCAATGTCTTGAATGTGAAGAGAACAGTAATTACAATAAATATTACAATGCATAAAATCAGTTCATATATGGTCCAATAAATAAGTCTACAGTACAATATTATAGCATCTATCAAAAAATGTTACAAACCTGACATGACCTAATATAGATCAACATGATTTTTAACTGTACTTTTATGATTAAAAAGCAGTCTTTCAGCTCTAAGCAAAGACGGCGCCTAGGCTGAGAGGTGCAGTCTGGGAGATATCAAGTTATACGGCTGCTGCAGGCAGGAGGAAGCATTTTTTTCAGTCTCCTCTACCTTACCGTTTGCTCAGACTGTAAGGGCCATGTCAGATAGGGAATCCTGCTACTGACAACACATCCCCCAACAGCAGAATGACCAAGGGGAAGCAACCATTTCTCTAACAAGTATTGCTCCCTTTACTGACTAAGTGTTGGAGCTGTGATGGAGCAATATCTTGACGCTCCTGCCAATGAGAGTGTCACCAAAGCAGACGTTAAGGCGTCTGAGTAAATGGCGTCCTGGTTGCTCATTTGACATCAACCTAAATATTTTAACTGTGTAGCAGGTCTCAAGGAAAGTGGCGGCAGACGGGGATTGATCTTTTAAAAATGTGTATACGCAGACCAGAACATAACTGAGCTAACATGTTT